GTGTATTATTTGTTGAAACTGTACTTCCGATTTGATTTGAAACTGTCTCATTGCTATATGTTTATCAATAAAACTGTAGAGAAAAAAAAATAAATAAAACAACCAAAAAAAAAAAATAACTGGTGGTGGTAGAGAAGCTCTGACTCTATAACTTGAGCAGCATTCTTAAGACCTAACCTGATAATCTTACTGAATGAATCAAATATTTAGCTGGATAGTCACCATACTTTGCTGTCCTTTTGTGAGTGGCCTGTGATAGGATAGCCAAAGCAAACATAAAGCTAACACAACATGCTTCCTTTCTCTGAAGCACTGCAACCTACAGCTATTGTCTAAACCACAAAAAACTTTTTATATAATTTATCCAGTTTTACAGACATTTGTTACTTTTTATTCTGTAATGGTTGCGACTTGAAATCATTATTATTACATTACCCTTTAAATTAAAAATAGCATAGCTAATAAACATTAATTTTCACCTATCAAAAGACAACCTAGGGAAACCAATAAAGAGTTAAAGTAAGAAGCTGTCAATATAGTTATATAATTTTTTACTATTTCAATTTTTTCAGATTCAGAAAAAATTCCACAAATATTATCATTTTCTTGTTATGGTTTGTGTTCACTTGTCCCCCAAAAGCCTCATGCATGTCATGGGATGGACCTTTAGAGTTCTGAGGGATTATGGTTGTGAGTACTACACTCAGCCTGAGGCAGATATCTTGAATGCAATTTAAGGGAGACAAACTTGCTCTGTTGCCATTGTTACTGTTACTTCCTTTTGCTCTTCCTTCTGGCACCATGAACTGTTGCCTTCTGCCATGTGCCAGTCTGCTTTGGAGCCAGCTGAGCATAGACTCAAACCTCTTGTAACTGTGAGCTAAATAAACCTTTTCTTCCTTCATTTTGAGGGTTGGGTATTTGTCCCAGAAATGAGAGAAGAGTAACTGAACATAATTTGGTACAGAGAGTGAAGTCATTGCAGTGCCTACCTGGCCATATAGATTATGAGCTTTTGGGAATGGCTTATGGGAAGAGATAGGAAAGGTTTGGAGATGTTGCCTACAAGAGAAGCACTGGAACAGCTGTTCTGTATGGGAGATTCTGGTCAGAGCTCAGAAGACCAGAATGCTGTTAGAAATCCTGCCTATGAAGACCAGGCTGGGGAGGTTTCTGTTGAGAAGAAGGAGGACTACATTGGTTGTTGAACTCCAGATGATTTCTGTTACAATGTGGCAGAAAGTTTGTCTCCATTTGGCTTGTGTCCAGAGACTTTGCCTGAAACTGAGATTAAGCGCAATGGACGGATTAATCTGGCAAAAGAAATTTCAAAGCAGCCAAATGTTGAAGCAGTGGCATGGCTACTGTTAGGGGCTTTTAGCCAGATTTATGTTGAAAATCAAGAGCAAGGAGCCCAGCAGGATAATTTGAAATTCTGTGAGTTTGGCCAGAAAGGAAGGACCATTAAAGCTGTGGACTGCAAAGATAGAGCTGAGAGGATCTCCATTGCCGTGAAGAAACTAGAAAATAACAAAGATAGCCTAAGGGTATCAAAGGATGCAGCAGGTCTCCACCTTTTGCAGCCTCAAAATTGCAAGAGTGAGGGACTTTGCCTTGAGGAGAAAGCTGCAGAGTGTCATGTTGCAAAATGGCAGTGGCAGCCACACCAGATTTCAGAATGGTGCTGGCATAAGAGAATTTCTTACTCAGAATCAGGTTCAGAGTGCTCAGAGATCCATGCACTCAACCCCTACAGCCTAGAGAGAGAAAACCTGGGTAACACTAGAGCTGGCAATAGACCTTGGCATCATCCACATGGTGTTGGTTTTAGGTACAGGCACAATACAAGAGTTCTGAGGTTAAGAAAGCTTTTACCTAGATTTCAAAAGGCCTGGGAGGCCAGGCACTGCTCCCCTAGAGGGCAATGTGTGAAGCAAAGAGTGACAGGTCCTAACATGCAATGGAAACCCCAGAAGTTTGGAAAAGCCAGTAATGTGGATCATCTAAAGGAAACTATAAGGAGTGAGCAAAGCTGGCCTAAGAGAGAAGACATGGGAGTTACCACCAAAATGCCATAGGGGCAGAGCCATTAAGGGCTTTGGAGCTCATAACTCATCACAGATTGCTTTAGACGTTCCAGATGGAACTACAGGATTCAATGTTTGCCCTTCTGGATTTTGGACTTGCTTTGGTTCCACTGCTTGGTATCCTGTTGTGTTCACCTTTTGAAATGATTATGTTTTTCTTGAGCCACTGAATCTTGGAAGTGTTTTCCTTTTCATTTGTACAGGGGCTCACAGATAAGAGTTTGCCTTAGATCTTAGAGGAGACTTGGGACTTGGACTTCTCAGCAATGCTAAAACTGATAGGACTTTGACAACTCTTAGAGATGGACTAAAATGCCTTTTGTACAAAGGGATGTGCATAAGACATCCTTTGGGGGGGGGTCCAAGGATGAAATGTTATAGTTTGTATCTAATTGGCCCACCAAAGCCTCATATAATTTTGGAGTGCACTTCTACAGTTTTGATTATCTCATGATCCACTGGGATTATGGGTGTGAGTGCTGCTGGAATTATGGGTGTAAGTGCTGCTGGAATTATGGGTGTACTACACCCAGCCTGGGGTAGATAGCCTACATGCAACGTACGGGAGACAAGAGTATTCTGTTGCCAATGTTCTTATATCTCCCTTTTGCTCTTGCTATTTTGCTGCCTTCTGGCACCATGAACTGCTGTCCTTTGCCATATACTGGTCTGCCTTGGAGCCAGCGGAGTACAGACTAAAATCTCCTATAACTGTGAGCTAAATAAACCTTTCCTTCCTTCATTTTGAGTGTTGGGTATTTGTCCAACCAATGAGAGAAGAGTAACTGAGACATTTGTTCATTTTAATCTCTCACTGATAGACCAGTGAGAACACAAAAGTCTTCATTCCTTTTTAACTAAGTTTAATTTTCTGTTTAACTCTAAGCCTAAGTCAAATATGACAATAATGATACTCCTCTTTCATTTAGACCAAGGGGGTCAAAGAGTCCAAGGTGATCTCCAAGGTTTCCTTGGAGCAGAAAGTAACTATGATCAAGATATACAGGGAAGTTTGGAATTCATCTCCTGAAGAAAAGATTCTACTGTATTTTCTTAATAAAAGGAATAAGTAAGGCTGGCCTTTACTCCCGTTTTGATCGTGGGTCTCTTCTGACTGTAAGATATCAGGATAAAATTCCATCTCTAAATAGTTCAGAGAAGAAACAAATGAACTTGGTACCATAAGGATGTCACAGGGCAACTATTACATGACATGCCTACTTCTGAGAATGAATTTTTAAAGCCATCCTGTGTTCAGTTTTCTGTTCCCCAGAATAGAAAGCATTTCTGACTGGTAAATATCATTTTGGACTTTAGACTTCATAAGAAGAGTCTGCAGGACAGATACAATGAAAAAGAAAAGACCAACACAATCTGAAAAAGGAAGGATTGGGAGCTTTCATTTCTTTAATATCTTGGAAACAAATACGGATTCTATGGTCTCTCTCTTATATGGCATTCTAGAATACAAACATCCTTATAGACTGGGATTTTCCTCAGTTCAAAATAGGCGTCTAGGGACTTCTGGGTCCTCAAATTAACTTAAAGATGTATTCTAGTCCTAAATGTCCTATAAATTATGTCTGCCATCTAGGTATTCTTTGTCTCTAATAGGAATAATAATACTAAAAATCTAAAACATTTTTCTCATAGAGTACGCAAATAAAAAAAGCACAAAGATGGCTCATTGTCTTACGTTCACATTCTCTGACATCCAGGTTGAACTGCTGTAAAGCTCCTAAGGTGAGCTGCCTTACTTCAGCCTCCAGCAAAAGTTGCATCAAAGATGTGGCTAAATGCTTGCAAGCTGACATACATGCTGTCTGAGCCACCTTTCCCTGAAATATAAGAGTGTAAAGCAGAAAGTTAATACATTAAAATAAAATTTTAACAAAATTAAAATCATTCCTTTTTTCAATAGAAAATTTCTATAAGGTTTTTCCCTATACAACACTTTTGGCAATCATGTTAAATATTATTAGCTCCACACCAGGCATGGTGGCCAATACCTGTAATCCCAGCACTTGTGAGGCTGAGGCATGAGGATAGCTGAAGGTTTAAGGCCAGTCTAGGCTAAAAAGTGAGTTCAAAAGGGCCGGCCTGTTAGCTCAGTGGACTAAAGTGCCTGCTTAGGCAGAACACAGCAGGCAGGTTTGGCAACTGACATTGGGCATAGTGGCATGTGCTTGGGAGGCTCAAAACAGGAGAATCACTAGGAGTCCGATCTACGCATGAGCCCCTGCAGACACTACTCTAAATACAGGAAGAAAAAAAAAAAAAAAAAAGTGAGTTCAAGGCCAGCCTAAACTCTATAGTGAAACTCTGTCTCAAAAAAGACAATAAATAAATAAATACTCCATCATCCTAAGTCATGATAGTTATAACAAGTTGTATTTCAGAAAGCATAGTTATATTACCAAAAAGCACTATTTAACTGACCATGAGCAAATATTTAAAAACTTAATTAAATTTAGAATATTTCTCAGAGAATAAATTTGAAAAAAATGCCTTCAAACTTCTACATAATTTTTTTTTTTTTTTTTTTT